AACGACTTGCGTTTTGAATTTTAACTATTTTACTGCTAATTTATAGCTCGTGTAAAAATTGTCGACAAACAAAGTTCGTCCTTCATTTAGTAATTTATCTGCAAGTTCAATGCAGACGTTTTCGGCTATGCCAACTTGCTTATTTTCACTGGTATCTCGTCCAGAATATATTTTCGCAGACCATGTATACCCTTTGTTGGAGCATAGTTTGAAAAGTTTTATAACGTACTTATGCGATTTAGTTGGTATGTATTATCTGAATATTAGTCGTCCCCTCCAAGGAACCATTGTCTTGTCGACTACAATATCTTCGCCAGGAGAAAAGAATTTTTGATAATTATCTATCAATATGTTTAGGAGTAGTAAAACTTTTCCAAGTCTGTAACTCTCTTCTATCGTTTCGCTATTTGCAAAATGTAAGTTTGCTAACAGTAATTTAAAATGTCTACAGGACACGATGCTGTGCGGAAATGGAAAGTTGTATATAGGGTCCGTTGACCAATATTTAACGAATGGTGTCCGTAGTAGACCCATCCATATCATCAGTCCGAAAAATTATGTAATTTCTTCAGAAGTGAAAAGTTTCTATTTGTTCAGTCGAACATGATTAGTGATTTCATGTTGATGCAATTTTTGCTCTGCATATCTATTAGTTTCTATGACTAAAAATCTTATCACTTTTTCGTCTAAGAATAGCTTTAAGCACTTCACTTCGCTAATATCAGACGGCAAATGCATCAGAAACCCACCTTTTCCGGTAAACGGAAATGATTGTTGCCTGATGTTAGCAAATCCATTCTACTGGATATTGTTCAATGAATTATCAAAAGTGTTCAGTTCCTCTTCTTCGTCTATAGCAAGTTCTGTCAACATGTCGTTAAGGTCTTTACTTCCATATGATTCCGTAGTATCGGAGTCTGAACTCAATGCAATTCTATTTATCACTTTTCCTCTAAAACTCACTACTTCGTCATCACTATTTCCCTCACTTTTAATTATACTTTTACGCCGTCTAATGAACATTTTCAGGATAAAAAAATCACTGATGTGCTTCTAAAAAAATGTATGCTTCTCGACTAAATGAAGGATCTGGGATAACTGCAGTGAGATACCAGGCAGTCCTTTAACTGACAAGCTTATCGCTTTCCACATTTTGGAACTAAACACTTTATTCTTTACAAAGAACCGAAGGCTCTGTAGCATTAGATAATCGACAATGTACAGGCCTACTCGAATTACATTATTGCTATTCCTGATTATTACTAAACGTACGCGCCTATCATATATACCTATTCTTCGATTTGTACTCTGTGATTTTCAAAAGAATACTAAATTTAGATGTCAATTAGAATAGAATATTCTTATTAGAGAACAAAAGCACAAAAAGTACGCATTTTGTTACTTGAATACAAAAGGACCGATAAAATTTTGAGGCTATACTTGATATCGACTCTGCCAGATATCAAGCCTCAGCTTACGATAAAAAAAATCTATATTCTAAATTCTAAGATGTACATAACTATCTATAGTTGTCATACTTAAGTCCACAGATAAGATCCTGATCGAAAAATTTAGAAAATGATAAAAGATTTGTACAATGTCGGTCATGATTAAATTTGAAAAAAGGTCAAATGTACTCCGGTTAAAGAATTAAGCAAATAAAAAAGACCGATAATATTACCGACAATGATTTCTACTCATACGTTGATCGAAAAACGGCCTTGATAAAATATTTTAACCCTTGTGTGAGAATTTTTATTATACCTACTATTTTTATATTATTATAATACTATAGTATTCTGTGAATTCTCAATATTCGTGTTGGAAAAATTATTTTCATCAGTGAAGAACACGTTTCGCAAAAATTGTGGATTTCGTTTTAATTTCTTCAACATATAACATAAGCAAAAATTACGTCATAGAGAACGATTATCATTGTGAAATGCTTGTACTTATCGAAGGTGATATGGATGTAAACTTGATTATATACATATCCTAAAAGTAGAAACATGCGACTTGGTGTATAGGAGGAACATCTTCGTGTTATCCCTATTATCGATATTCCAAAAATATATGCACACTCATGTATTCTTTTACTAACGTCACAAAACCCATACATTTGTATTATATCTTGAGAATTTGATAATATTTTCTTTACTTATTTATTAGTATTATTATTATTATTGACATTAATATAATAAAGTCGGTAACTAGGGGTCTCTCTTCAAAGGAAATGATATCAAACTTCGGTATAATAGCCGCATAATTATGTTCAAATTTACTCGTAGGATTGCTAGAGATGAACATAAAAGTATTAAAAATTGATAACGGATCTTTTTAATCAGAAAAGTACAATGTCCAAGTTTATGTTTGTTCAAAATTGATCAAGAGTTACGCAAATTCTTATTGTTAGTGTAAATACACTTTTCCATATTTATAATAAGAATAAAGTCATGTTCAGTGGTGCCTTCGAAATCTGCGACAAAAAAGAAAAATATCTACTGATTTTTATATATACTTGAATGATGTATATTCTGTTTTCGTGAAATAGACGAGTGCCTTCTTGTTCTTGAATACATGAAGTGATGATACATCAGATTTTTTGAATCATTTCAAACAAAACCAATGCCAGTTATATATATATGTATATATATATATATATATAATAGTAAGTATATATATATAGTAAGTATATATATATATATATAATAGTAAGTATATATATATAGTAAGTATATATATATATATATATATATATATATATATATATATATATATATTATACTTTCTGCATTTTTCGTGAAATAAATGCATTATCGACGTCGTATCATGTACGAATTTCTTCATTTTATGGAATCTTGAAAAAATCCCCAAGGTTTTTTTATTTTATCAGTATAAATATGATAGTATTCATTGGTTTTATGTTTTTCACTTTTCTTTTGTCTATTGGAGTAAACAACATAATTTATTTTTTTACTTTTGCACATTTCATGAAATTTACCATTTAATCTGATCTCAGAAAGTGAAGTAGAAGCTATAGATCTTTCTTGTTGAAAATTATTAGTCAATTCTTCGACTAGTATTTTAACATATTTCAAATGTCTCAATTTTTTATTGTTTTCATTTTTTTCACAATCTTATATCTGACACATGAATTAATTATAGACATTTCCATGTACCAAAAAAAAACATTTTTCTTTAGCAGGAGACTTCCTCAAAATACAATAAGTAGATACGTATAGATCACCTCGATCAATGCCCCCACGTAAGTTGTGTTGCTGGCAACTGCATTATACTTTTTAATTCTAAACTTTTTTTAACTTTTCATAGAATTCTTTTTGAATCCATCATTCCAATTAATTAAAAGTTACACAGTTCCCTTGTCCTTTCAAGCTAAAAATGTAATTTTTCCTTTTTTATAGAAACAAGTTTTCTTAACTAAAAACTTGGATTTTTTTCATAAATGTTGGAATGGCTTTCCTCTTAGTTTTTATAGTACTAGTCAAATGGCATTTCATTTTTATTGGTTTCTCTGCCGAAGATATATTGGCATAATATCTACCAGTAAACATATGGTAATCCTGTGCCTTGGAAATTTTATTTAACAACTTTTGATATAAATGCTGCGGAATTCTAGTGCTAACTGGTAGATTTAGACGAATAAGATTTTCTGATGTAATATTTTCATAATAAGGTAGGATGGTACAGATATATCCTGCTTCAGAATTCATCATCGCATAGATTCTTATATTCCATTTTGTTGGCTTAATCGTGTTATATGTAATGAAAAAATTTTCCCTTCAAATTTTACTATGGATTCATTCACACAAATATTTTGACCAGGAATGAAATGTTTATAAAATGTTGAATTTAGATACTCTAAAAAAATACTGGCTCGTTGTATTTTGAGATTTTTGCTACCTGAGTTAGGAATTTTTAAATGAAGCATTCAAAATATTGATTGAGTCGAGTTCTTGTAAATATATCCGTAATAAGAATTCTACTGTTATGTTTAGTTGACAAAAACTAGAAATAGACATTGTACATAAAATGTATATTGTATTTATAATGAGTCTCTTGAAAATCCAAAATTCATTTTTACTTACATCATGTCATGTTGGCCTTACGGAGCCTTTAGTTAGATTTTAACAACAATAACAAGATTTTGCATATTTGTTTATTTCCTTTATTACTTCATCAACTAGTTGATTCGTGAAAAACAGTGTGAATAACTGAATCGGTTCAAAACTATTAAAGGATCTGTTACTTTTGATCCTATTGAAAAATTTACTCGAAGTGGCATGTACACATTCTCTGTAATAATGACCCAATTATCTTTCTTTGAGATGCTTGCGTTATTATCGGTGTAAGATTCAATAATCCCGTACCTTTCGTCTTTGATAAATTATTATATCGCTGTCGTCATTATTATTCTCAGTATCACGTTTTCTTTAACGAAATTAACGTGTATTGTTCACTTAAGAATCACTTGAATCCTTAAGATTTGTGAAAAATATTATAGATTTTATGGCATATCAATGGTTATGCGTGTAAATGGAATTTTTCCGTATATTTGGTCGTTATAATAAGTGCTTTATCTTCGATAGTTTTCACCACGTGGAGGAGCTTCTTCTTATGGTCATTTCTATCACTCTGCACTGTACTCGAGTATTCTCAGTGGTAAGTGCTGCTGTTCGTAATGATGACGATGGTGATGATGTTGTTGCTCTTGCTCTTATTTTTGTTGTTGAACCTTCTTTGTGATTGAAAATATCGGAATGGAAAGAGAATTTTTTCCCGAAATAGAATAGAATTTTGCCTAGATATAGTCTCCGTGGATTCTTCTGTAATCTTGAACAATGAATGACAAAATGGAATGAACTTGTTATTGTGTTGAAAAACGTTTCGTTCAATAGATAAAGGCCTGATGATTCCTACTCATTATTCAAATTTAATCTTCTCAAAGTTCCTTACATTCTGCGTTTTTTGCTTGTGCTGACATCCTCTTTTCGCAATCTCGATAACGTACAAGTTTTATTCCCATTATTCTCCTTCAAAAGTACATCATCAGAAAGATTTGTTTCCAATGTACGATCCTTCGTTTCTTTGCTATCTATTTTTTCCCACATGAAGTAATTCGCCGAAGTAGACGGAATTGACGATAAAAATCCTTGGCGAAAAAGGAAATTAAAAAGTTAAATTTCTTTTGAAATAAATTGGTTGAGAAGATTCCTTCGGACCCGTTGTTCTTGATATTCAAAGTTATAAATTAATGACCGTTTTGTTCGACCCTCAAATGAGCTGATTCTTCAAGGAAGTCGGAAGAAATTCTACAGAATTTCTTGGAACTTGTACGTTCACATTTACGAGATGATTACTAGGACATCTCGTAAATGTGAGCGTCAAAATGTATTGAGGAATTTTTGTGAATGAAAGTACTGCTTCCGTTATTGAGATATTGCTCTCCCGCGAAGCCTTGATTCTCCATCTGAAATAAAAGAATCGATTCGATCAGTTCTCCAACTTAATTTTATCGAAAGAACGAATTGATTTGCATCGAATAATTCGATTAAAATGCATGATTCTTAATGCAGAACTCGAAGGTAAAGCGGAAGAAGATAAGTATGTGTCGATTCAATATGCCAATTTAAAATTATACGTATAAATTTATACTCATTTCACAAGCGTAAAAGGTTTGCTTCCAAATATAATTAATGATTTAGCGAGCTACATTGTCCTTCGGATTGCCTATTATTGTTTTCCCGTTAAACGATTAATTTTTCTTCTCTTTGCTAACTCGATTAGAAGTAATAATGAAGTGTTCATCAAATGTGGATATTGAAGAGTCTGACATTCCCATGATGATCTGTATGATCGTTAAATGGATTAATCACAATGCATCTACAATTTTGACAATTCGATTTGAATTACGTTTATTAGCTTGTCCTCCTGTCAATATCTATCGAAGTAAAATTTGTTTATGAAAATGAATTTTTAGTTGCATTAAACAAAAGGAGAAAGAAAAAAAAGAAGAATTCTTTTATCGTTTATTATTATTAAATCATCCTCCCCTAGATCCGGTTCTTATTAGTCGAGGTCGTTCGCATTTTCTACTCGATACAGGTGTCGCCTCTTTATCAATTCGCATACAGCTCTATCTTTGATGTCGTGTTTCGCTTCTTTATCGCTGTCATCTTTGTTCCGTTCATCTATTTCCGCATGAGTTGGAATAGCATTAGAAAGATTTAGTGGTGATTTATTGCCCATCATTTATATTCAATGCAATTGAAATGTCTGTTTTCAAATCACGACTTGTTATTCATTGTTAGTCTTGTTATTCATTTTTCTTCGGGATTCCTTAGATACATGTACGTGGACTTTGGATCCAAAGGTGTGCATGTGTTTAAGATCTGGTTTCGTTCTATCCATCTTCGACAATATTCAGACACTTAACAGATCATAATTATTTAATAATACATAAACTACATTATAACAAGTTTTTAATATTTTGTTGGTTATTTCTTTTGTCTAATTACTGTTCTTAAACGCGTGGGCATATTAGAAAATATTTCTTCTAAATAATTTTATAATATACGTCCTCACTCTTATATTAAATGTGCTTTCAAGTATTCTTTCACTTTTATCGATGTTATTTTAATGTTGCGATTCAATAGATCCTATAGGTTTTCAATCGGATTTAAGTCCGGCAACTGTAGAGGAAGATGTAACATTTTGGAGCAATTATATAATAAATATTTTTGAACGATCCGAGATTTGTGTTTCGTATCATTGTCCTGATAACATTTAAAACTATTACTTATGCCCATTTTAACTGCACTTTGTGTTAAATTTTCTTTTAAGATGTCTAAATATTTACTTTTATTCAAAATACCGTCGATAAAAATAAGTTTTCTTATTCCAGTAGTTGAAATGTAACAGCCGGCACCATATTTTAGAATAGCTCGAAGATCCTTTTTTCCGTATTATGTATTAACTTTTCGCCACACTAATTTTCGACAGCGAGAGTGAACGCGCAACTCTCTTGGGAGTCTACAGTGAATCAGTGATAACATTCGTTTAGCGAATGACATATTAGCGGAACAAGCGAGAGCAAATAATAGCGAGACAAAATGACTGACGGGTCAGCAAACATCAAACAGCTTGTGACATTGTTTCTTTTATATTTTTACTTTTGTTAAATATTTCTACAATATTTAACCCAGTAGTCGAGAACAGCGTTCTTTTCTTCAACATTGCGCCTGCCTATCAGTAGGATAAAATTTAACGTGCTATCAATTTTCAACAACATTAATAATATTTTTCTCTACAATTGGGGGCTCAACCAGGATCTTGGATTAGCAGGTATGCAATCATGAAGATACGTTTATGTGTGAAGCATAAATTTAATTGTATTTTATGATAACGAGTTAACAGCGTGATGGAAGCAAAAGATCTATTTAAGTTCAGCGTGACGCAGTTTGAAAGAAAACCTTAAGATTCTAGCACTTCCGATTATGAAATCTAAAAACGAATTAATGGCTAGACTGATTGAACACGATGTCAGCGAAGTGAGTGACAATGCAACACCTCCGCAAACGTAGTTCCGTGGATCTGTTAATCGGAGAAGAGAATGGAAGCGAAAGCGAAATGGACTTGATGCTATAACACATCCAATTGCTAAATAAAGAAAAAGAATTATCAATGCGTGAAACAGAGCTTATATGAAGGGAGTTCGAGATGATGCGAATACCACAACGGACAGATCATCTATGCAACGGATGGCATTAAACATACTAAGGCCAGAACCTCTTTGGATGAACATTATAACTTTTACAGGTCTATTAAATTACTTTAGGGATTAGTGATTTTTACGTGGTGTGTAAAAAACAAGGTCTTACGTTGTGGGAAATTATGGGTTGCATGAGGATGTTAACTGAATATTAATCGTTTCCTGACTAAGATGAAAGGCGTAAGAATAGTTTCATTCTAGACCAAGCTTTTATGCGGGACTACAAACTACAGAATTATTGGCGGAAATAAAGACAATGAACTGATCAATATACTAATCAACGTCATAGAGGATTCCACGTTACGTGATCAGGCACGTATTGTTACGTCCCACTCAGTACGGGCATCAAAAAAATATATTACAAATTTTCCAAGGAACTCCTACTTGTTATACTTTCTTACAAGTTATACTTTCTACCGGCATGACGCATTCTCGGCATTCGTGAGAATTTATAGGAGAAGGGCTGATAAGGACTCTCTCGTGCGAATCGTATGTATCACTAGTGAGGGATTTGATAGGAAATTATCTTTAGCATGTGCAAGCTGTACGCACCTCTAACGAAAGTATGATTTTGAGGTTTTAAGGTTGAATAATTAGGAGTGGAAGGATACCACGTGAGAGAATTTGTCGACTGCATGGTAAAGAATTCGCTTAATTAATCGATTCCCGAATCGTAGAGATAGGAAACCTTATTGGTTTGAATTAAGACGTTTAGAAGGATCTCGAATGGACTTCGATACGCGCAGTCCGGTTATTCAAGTAAATATACACACCGAGTACGAACAAAACTAAATTTATTAATGTATAACGAGTACAAATTATGAAGTACAATGATTTGAAAAGTCGCGGACAATGTTAACTGCTCGATGCGTACTGCTCGATAGCTGCTGTGAAAAAGAAAAATTAATGTGCGTCTTTTCGTTAGGCGTAAGAGTGACGTCTAACGTAACACTTTTTCCCGTATTAGAAAATGTACGTACATGTATAATATCTCTGATTGATTATGTCAGGTGATAAATGAAAATATGTTTCTCTGTGAACAAAATAATAAATCTTTATTTGTTAATTAATACTTATTTGCTAATTAGTCTTACCTGTGAACAAAGAAACGACAATTTACGTTTATTATTCACACTATTTAAATTTTATTTAATATATTTTATCTAGTATAAATTTCCTTATAAACTCTCGTGTTACTTTTCTCTTCTACGTTCTATTTCCTACTGCCCGTTACTCTTCCAAATCTTAACGGCTCGATTTGTAGGTCACAAAAGAATTTTTTAAATAACAAAGGACAATGGAAGGGCGGGCCATGAGAAGCGCGGCAAATCTACCTGAAGAAAGTATACTTTCTTTACACATATACGTGCATTTTAGCATTTATTTAAACACGCATTTAATTCGATGAACGTGCTCAACTGGTTGGACGTGCTATCCATTGGTTTTTCCATTCGTTTGTGAACCGTGACGTTTTCAGGTGGCATCGTCGCTCATTGTTCTTCGCGTTCTGGATGTTTAGTTGCCAGATGTAGGAGGAGATGAATCAATAAACCCCATAAGCCTCTTATGACATGTAGGTTCCTGCCATATATATTATGTAATGCGTATCCGTGGAGGAGCGTGTCGGCAATGTATTTTATTCATTGAAGGGCCATGAAAATGGCTAAGATCCCGGCATTTGCTGATTCTAAGGTTATGAATGCTGCCCATAGACTTTGTCCTGTGCTTGACGTAATCTTGTCCAGTGATTCGTCGTCCATTAAAATATCGAGAGATATTTTCTCTGAAGGTATTTGTCTGCCACTGATTCCTCTGGCGAGAGTGTCGAGGATGGCAGGTTTCTCTCTGCAGGTTCCATTGTGTGTGACCGTAGTTTATACAAATCTTCGGTAGAGCAGCTCGCTCCGAGATGTTCAGGATGGATGTATCTCCATTTTGGTTTCGTTAAGGATTTAATCACCAAAAGAGATATTGACTCCATTAATTTAGGTGTGACCTTATACCAGATGCTATGTAAATTATACATATTTGTTAGTAGTTCATTGCAATCCTTCGGCAATGCGCTCGAAAGTATGAATCATTGCGATAGAAAATGGGTAATTCCCTATAGCATTCTTCGGTCTGCCTGATTTTTACTTGTACTGGAATGCATTTAATTATATATATTACTTCGGTAGCTATTACTGCCATGTATGCTGGTTGCTTCATGAGAGTATGCCATTGAAATGGCATACAGATGAATCTGGTGCTATTGTAGCTGGAGAGAGTAGATCCTTGAGTACTTGTTGTTCGAGGATGAATTTCTGTCTAGTTATATCTATATATACTGATGTTAACACGACTGTGTTTTTAGATGTCTCTCTACGTATATAAACTTTGGGTTCATGTATGCAAAAATATCCAGATTTTCTACGGAAGTCTTAGCTTTGAATGTTTGTCCAGGAGATGTTTCCGTGATAAATAACTTCGGATGTTGAAGAATAACCGCAAATTCGGATTATAGAATAACCGCATAAGACGAATTCATTGGCTTTCGTCAGAGCGAAAGTAACATTTTTAGTGTAAAGAATGGGACCCTGTGACGATTCTGGAGGTGTTAGTTTTGTTGCAGGTCCTTCACATGGTACGTCGTATTTGTGGAAACCGCAGTTATCGGTTGGAAGGGTCGGCCAATAGTTTTCGCTTCCGTCCGAATTGAGGCAAGCTTCCTCGTCTAATGCTCAGACGGTTCTCGTTCCAAAGTATATTTAATTGGCCTTTGCTTTGACTGTGGCGTAATAGTCGCGTAGCTCTATCTTGAGAGAGGACTACTACGTCATCCCAAGTTTCATAAGGGTCGCTATACTGAGACCCTTCGCATGTTCCATCAGTTGTAACTGTGCCGCTAATAGTTAAACTTATTCTATCTGCATTGTTATTGAATAATTCTCTTATGTAAGCATTTAGACCCAAAGAGAGACTTCCTGTTGAGTGTACTTGTTGGCATAGATGATGATTTAAGGTGAATAAATACTCCAGACATCCATTATAGACGATGGATGTGTGGGAGTGCATTCCACAATGAAATATTGTTGTGTGGATTTCTACTCTGCACTGCAGTACTTTAACCGAATTATAGTTGGCTGCTTGTAATAGCTGTACGTAGACGGAGTTGTTGGTAATTTGTAGATTTGGCATCTCGCAATCGGCTATGTCCAGAAGAGAAAATGTGGAGATATTTAATGAAATTGTTGCACAATCATATCCTACTAAGACCACTGCTATTCTTACTAAAGTTAGCATTATAAATAGAATATTCATGGTTTCGATAGAAGATTATATATTTGATTTGTCTCATAGGAGAGAACAACTGATACTGACACACCTGTTTGAACTGCTCATATGCTAGTTCTTATTGACTATCGAAGTTGTGGGGATCCGCCTTATATATCGTCATCATGGAAAGGAGAGCGACTGTTGCTCCACGCTGCGCTATTGAAACCGCGAGTCGGTGATGCAGATTTCCATAATGTCGACTTATCGAGCTTGGAAATTAAACTAGCTTATTAAGTTTTCATTTGTTGATATGTACTACACGATTGCCTTTGTGGGTACATATTTTTATATTATTTTTCTCCTAGATCTTTATGACCTCAAATGGTCCTATATACTTATCATCGAATTTTCCCTTTTGCGTTCTTTTTAAAAGATACAGTTGATCATCTACTTTAAAATTAGCGACTCTTTGCCTTTTGTTATAGTACGTTTTTGCTTTATATTTTGAACAGATTGAATTATGTCTTGCTGCCTCTTAAGATTTGTTGAGCTGTTCGTTTAATACGCCCAAATAATTCGCGTATGTTTCATTCTGTAAGTCATTGTAGGTGAACTCGTTGGGTGTTCTAGTTAGTTGACCAAATATAATTGTTCTACGTTCTCTCGTGTACGCTCGTATTATAGGAGAACATTGCTATGTCGACCCAATTAACCCAATCGTTATTTTTGGTAATAAAGTGCTTGAGGATCTCGATGAGTACGTGGTGAGAACGTTCGATGAAGTCATTTGTTCGCTGGTGATACGCGTTAGTGTGATGGTGATTTATTTGAAACTTCTTCGCTACTGCTTTCATTAGTTCTAATAAAATCACTGTCCTGGTCAGTCAAGATTCTTTTTGATGATCCAAAACGGCATATTACATTTTTTATGAATGCGACTTCCTCTGAAGAAGCTTGCTGGAGAGTAATCGCGAGAAAATATTTGCTAAGCAGATCTTGAATAGTTAATATATAGTTATTTTTTGTCCTCATAGTGGGCATCGGACCGACGATGTCTAAAGAGATTTTGTCAAACGCCTTCTCGGGCGTGTCTGTAATAATCATGGCCTGTCTCGTTTTTAATCGAACAAGTTTTTTCATTTGACTGTTTCAACGTTCGTATTTCACCTTGGCTTAAGATTTCTTAGATCGCGTAATTTGAAACGTCATTTGTAACGATGAAAGATTTCGTAAAATCTGGGTATTGAAATAGAGGTTCCTGACATAATAAATTTACCAATGTTTTGAATTCTTCTTTCCGATTATCTCATACGTAAGCTACGTCCTTTTTTAATAACTTTGTTAGTGGTTTATTCATGGCAGAGAAATTTGGTATCAATCGTCTGCAGTAGCCTGCTAATCCTAAAAATTGTTTTATGTTCTTTGGTGTTCTGGGTGCAGGAAAATCTTGTACCGCTCTTATTTTTCCTGGATTCGGCTTCACTCCGGCGGAGGTAATGATATATCCTAGGTAAGTTACCTGTTTTCATAAGAAGTTGCATTTTTTCGGTTGTAATTTCAGTCCTACTTGTCTTAAACGATCGCATAACCTGTGCTATTTTACAATGTGTTCGGTGAGAAAGTTGGAATATATGACAATATCCAGATATACAAAAAGTTCGTTTCCTTGTAATCCCGTGAGAATCGAATTCATAAGGCATGGAAGATCGACGGAGAGTTTTTCAAGCCAAAGGGCATCCGTGTGAATTCATACTGCCCATATGTTGTCGAGAAGACCATCTTCGGTGCGTTCTATTTACTCATTACGATTTGATGTACGCCTGAAGCGAGATCGAAAGTATTAAAGTATGTGGCGCTCACTTATTGATCCAATGTTTCGGTAATATTGGCCAGAGGAGATAGTTGTCCTTAACTGTTTGCTTGTTTAGCATTCGATAGTCTGTAACGAGCCTCTATCTCTTGTTACTGTTCGCGTCGGCTTCCTTCGGGACGATTCAGAGAGGGGAGTTATAGGGCAATGCTGAAGGCTAGATGATGTCATTCTTCAGTAATTCCTTGATTTGTTTATTTATTTCCTCCTTGTGGATTGGAGGAAAACGATACTATCGTACGAAGTCTGGAATAGAATCTGTGGTCTCGATTTTATGAGTTATTGTGTAGCTGTATGTGAGTTTATCTCCAGGTAGATGAAATAATTTTAATAAATCTTGGTTTGTGCCATTTCCTTTTCTTCTTTATTGAGGGAGTTTAGTTTGATATTTTGCAAAGCTTTCGTGTAGCGTTTTTCGAATTTATCGGGACTTGTACCGTGGTAGGAGTTAGGAGAAGAAAGACGAGAAGTTTCGACGACCTTTGTAATAGCTGAGATTCTCTTTGTCTCAATCGTTTGTGCGAGGCGTGTTTGTTTAAATTTTTCGGCATCCTTATCTCGCTTTAGGAGAGATGTGGAATGCGTATCGAGTTCGCTTGCCTCGAGTCTAGGAGTAGTGAGATGAGAAGCTGGAGTGACTTTGTGTTATGCATTTCTCCTTAGAACCACTTGATTGAATCGTTGAAATCAACGATATTGTAGACGACTTCTTATGCCCTAAGGTTGATAAGAGGTTCACGTCTCGAATTCTTCGAGTTTGATTGTTGGTATCATAATTTTAACGTCTGTCTCATTCGTGTTGGAAACTTTCATAAGAGCTTTGCCGTTGTCATTTGTAACTAAAGCTTCTCCTGCAAATATTCTTTTTCTTAAATCGATTATGGGCACATAGCCCATTTTTTATTTTTATTATTCTTGATTTTAATCCTTATGGTGTTACTAGTGCGAGCCACAATGAGTATCTCTCTCGGTTTAACAAATTGCATAGTCATTCTGTGCCATTGTACTTGTTCTTTTATGAAATTTATCTTCGCTGTATTTTAAAAGAAATCCGACCCTATTATGCCGCCATGAGGGATATGAAAAGAGGATTTGGGATGGTGTGAAGTTCCACGGAATAGCCATAAAAATCGATAATTTTATTTTGTTTGAGACGTCGCATAATAAATCGTCTTCGGCCAAATCTATTTTTAAGATGTTTGGTTCAGATCCAGTATCTACTAAAAATTCTGTTTCCGTTTTCAAGTCCTTGGAAGCTATGGCGACAGAAAGATACTCGGGTCATTTTTTAACACTTGATTGTGCGGACGTGGAGGGTTCGTCCACTTTTACTGTTCCTATTGGACGCATCTGTGCGGTCGCCTCCGAGGTCGCATCCTTCAACGGAGGGAGACTGCCGTTTTCCGCTTGATGTTCGTACCATTTATTCTTTTGGCATTCCTCTATGACATGTCCGAAGTTTTTATAATATTGGCATTCTTTGAGTGTTTGGAGTGGTGGGGGAACGGTAAGGGAATGATCGGGAAGTGGAAGGTCGTATGTTTCCGCATGAAATGAATCTCTTGTAAGATTGTCGTTAACGCGTCCATTTCAGGTTTTGGTACGTTTTCTTATGCTCTACTGAATGCTTCTTCGCGTTCATGTAAATGTCTTTCGCGTTCCGCAAGTTGGACTTTTTTATTGCGAATTTGTCGTACTACATCTTCGTAATCGGCTTCGGGAACTGTCTAGTTTTGCTTCGCTTCTCCATTCTATCGTTTGGTACATCTATTTGTTCGAGCTGACTTACCTTGTCGCTGGACATTTTGTATCTTATCTATGTATCCTACCGCTGTTACCAGAAATGTTGTTACGTCCCACTCAGTACGGGTCTCAATAAAATATATTACAATTTTTCCAAGGAATTCCTACTTATCGCTAGATTAGTACCTTTTTGCCCTTATCTGCTATGTGCAGTTCTTGGTTCGGGTTTGGTACAAGCACACACAAAATGATTCGAAACACGGCACTTCATAGATTTATTAATGGTTGTCCTTACCTTGTTCGGTGATCCTCGTGAATTATGCTCCGATCTTCAAATATCTGGTTGTTCTCGAGTCAGGGTGTAGTAAATGGGAAATTGGAACAGCCTTCCTGTCGAACGTGATCGGGATGAAGCGGTAAGGTACCTCGTTCTTCTTGTTGGCTTCTTCGTTACTATAAATCCCAATGACGTCGGTGAAATACATGTGAGTACCATGTAATTCTCGGCATTCGTGAGAATTTTTAGGAGAAAGGCTGATAAGGACGCACTCGTGCGAACCGTATGCATCACTAATGAAGGATTTTATAGGAAGTTATCATTCGCACGTGCAAGCCGTACGCATCTCTAACGAAAGTGTGACTTTGAGTTTTTAAGGTTGAATAGTATAGAGTGGAAGGATACCACGTGAGAGAATTTATCGACTGCATGGTAAAGAATTCGCTTAATTAATCGATTCCCGAATCGTAGAGATAAGAAACCTTACAGGTTTGAATTAAGACGATAAGAAGGATCTCAAATGAACTTTGATACACGCAATCGGGGTTATTCAAGTATATATACACAGCGAGTACGAACAAAACTGAATTTTTTGAAGCATAACAAGTACAAAATTATAAAGTACAATGATTTGAAAAATCGCGGACAAAGTTAACTGTTCGATGCGTACTGCTCGATAGCTGCCGTGAAAAAAAAAATTAATGTGCGTCTTTCCGTTAGGCGTAAGAGTGACGTCAAACGTATCAGTATCCAGCATTTTATCTTGAGCAATGCTTTATTGAAAGCTCTCGAGAAAGTGACACTTCGAGACTGAGTATGCCTCAGGATGGGTAGTGCCCGAGAATGAGTAGTTTCTTTACTATTAAAGGTATTTGGTCAAGGATAACAATGGCATGCTCCATAAAATGACAGAAATATTTTGTGGAGATGTAAGGAATAGTGATAGAGGAGGAAACTGATAGTAATGATAGTAATTTTATTCATGGCTCTACTAATAGAGTGGTTCTATTAATGGAGTTAAACTACTAGTTCCAAGAGCCACAATATCTGTGATCATTGGTAAAGGGAGAGACATGATAAAAAATATCCAAGTCGGAACTTGAGCAGGAGTACGATTCCAGCGAGAAAGAGAGGATGATTCTGATGGTAGAAAATGTTTATTATCTGGGAAACACTAAGATGTGGAGCAGGCTCGTCAACATATTCAATAACTTATAGATAATGTAACGAAGAGAAATAATGTTAGATATAGTATAGGTGCCAGAAGTAGGCCTAGAGGAAATGAATAATGAATTTAATACTAGTGGAAATCCAAGTGAATATGGTACTTGAGACAGGCGCCAAGATGATTCCATACAAAGAACACATTGCCTACCTCGAGCTCCTGGTAGTTGCTGGTTAACGACGGCGGGTGGCCTGCCCTACCACCACATGACACTGCCGTGGCGTGGGTGTCCCTCCTACAACCACTTATGTCTTTAACTGTACTATCCATGCTAGACAAGATAATATTATTGCAAGGCAAGCTCCCCAAAGGAAGGGAAAGAAACGGAGGGAAACTAGAGGCAGAGAAAGAATAGAAAAAGATATGACAAATGAACAAAGAATGGAATAGGCGAACAAGAACATTCACACATCATTCACACAGTCTTTTTCACACAGATTTTATTTAGTGACTCCTCGTCTATTAAATTATATAACGAAATTCTTCGGGAGGGTGTGTACCTTACGCTGATTCTTTTGGCGAGCGTATCGATGATAGCAGGTTTTTCGACTGGTTCCATTATATGAGACCTTAATTTGTTGAGGTCTTCGTTGGAATAAATTCCGCTTGTTCCCAGGTGTTCCGGATCGATATACCTCCATTTTGGCTTTGATAGTGGTTAAATTACTGGCGGTGGTATCGATTCTACTAGTTTTGGTGTTACCCTGTACCATGTTCCGTGTAGGTTATACATCTTAAGTAGCAGTTCGTTGCAGTTTTTTGGAAATGCTTCTTTTAAGATGATGCGTGTCTTCGGCGAGAGAAAATAAGAATTGTTTCAGTAAGTAATCGGTAATTCTTTGTAGCAATCTTCCGTTTGTCTTATTCTAACTTCTACTGGAACACATTTTATAATGTAAATGACTTCTGATGCGATGACAGTCATATATCCCGGTTGTTTCATTAAGGCATAAGCCATTTCGTCTGGCGCTAACGTTGCCAGCGAGAGAGCGTTTTTGAGGACTTGTTGCTCTAACACGCATTTTTGTCGGGTGATATCAATGTACAGTGCGTTTAACTGTGTTTTGAGGTGCCTTTCTACGTAGATGAACTTCGAATTTACGTAAGCGAAAATGTCTATATTCTCCACGAAGGTTTTCGTTTTACCTTTGAAAGTTCTTCCAGGCGATGTTTCGAGTATGAATAGCTTGGGATGTTCTGTCTTTATTATCGAATATCCACATAGAATGAACTTGCTCGTTCTCATTAATGCAAATGTGGCATCTTTTGTCGTTACTGTATATAATATAGGTCTTTGCAACGATTCGGCGGGTGTCAGTTTCGTTGCCGGCCCTTCATAAAGAACATCGTTTGATTAAAGCCACAGCTGTCGGTAGGTATGTTTGACCAGTATGTCTCACTTCCATCTGAGTCGATGCAGGCTTCCTCGTCCAATGTACAAACGGTTCCTGTTTGTAGTTGTATTTGATTGGCTTTTGTTTTCACGATGGCGTAGTAGTCTCGTAACATGATTTTGACAGATGCTTGTACCACTATGTCGTCTCATGTTCCGTAAAAGTCACTATACTGGGAGCCTTTACAAGTGCCGTCTGTTGTAGCGGTACCATATAAATTAATGCTCCTTGTATCAGTGCTGTTTTTCTTTAGGCCAGAAATAAAGACATTTGGTCCGAGAGAGAGTGTGCCTGTAGAGTGTAGCTGTTGGCACAGCTGATGCGTTAGCGTCAACAAATATTCTCGACGTCCATTGTGAACGATAGATGTGTGTGAATAAATGCCATAGAACGATAGATGTGTGTGAATGCATTTCCACACGACATTGTAGAAATCTCACAGTGTGTAGTCGGTAGTCTGTAGTAGTTGTACGTATATGGTGTTGTTGATTGGTAGTAAATTCGAGATTTCGCAGTCAGCGATATTCAGGAGATAGTACGATGTGTTTAAGGATTACGTGGCGCACTCATATCCTACTAATGCTAGGGTTGATCTCGCTAAGGTAAGTATAAGAATATAAGTTCTTATTGAGTACATTGTGCATTGATCTTTGAGTTATTCTATCACGTGGAGTGTCGAAAAGGCAACTGACTTTTTACGACATTTATCGATCGTGTGCCCGTAATTTTTACAATATCTACATTCTATATATAGGAGAACGGAAAGATCCTACAGCCGGAGAAGTATGAGGTAGACGAGAAGAAGGGGGAGGAGGATGATATGATCTATGTGTAGGAATACGCTTTTGTGAATCTTGTCTATTTTTGTAGCATCGGTCCCGCATATGTCCTACTTTCTTACAATAGGAACAGACTTCGCGCGCGTCATTAGTCCATGTTACTCGTGTGTTAGCTCCTTTTGATTTTCGTGACTCATGGTAGTAATGATAAGCTAGTCGTTCGCTGTTGTCTTTTGATTGCCAAGATTTCGCGGCTTTTCTTCTATTCCATTCATACTGCATTTTGGCATGCAATTCGATTGCTCTATCGCATGCATCTAATAGATTTTTACTTCGACTATCTAACATATAGGGGAAGTACTCCTTGGGGAGTCCGGCGCAAAAGCTATCGAGAGCTAGTTGATCAATTACGTTTTTTTTTTGCTTCGGACGCTTCTTCCAAATACCTTTCTTTGTCCATAAGCGCTTCATGTAAATCTCTTACTCTACCGATATACTCAATCATAGGTTCGTTCTCGCGCATTAAAATATTTCAAAGTTCAGCTCTATAAAACTCTTGCGAATGTATCGATCATAGTGATTGTCTGAAACGATTGCATAACGTGTTCATGTTATGAAGTTCCGGTTTTTCTATGGCGCGGTATGCGGTATCGTATATTTTTCATATTGCAGCTTTAGTGAAAAGTTCTTCTGGATACTCCGGTATCACTTGACGGGCCCTTTTGCATGCCTTGATGAACGAAGTTCGAGGCATATTCTTCCCGTCAAAAAGCGGTATCATCCCTAACGCTTCGTTTATTGAGTGCTGCTCGGATTTGGAGCAAGTCTCGTTGCTCATGGCAAGAATTTCCTGCATCATGAAGACGAGAGGATCCGTTTCGGTTTTTGTACGTTCTGTTTCGTGCCTCATCACGTCTTCTCGTGCGCATAATGCTTGTTCACGTGCAACTGATTGAGATTCAAAATTGAGTCATTTTCTCTGAGCATCTTCTAACTCTTGCTCGTTGGGTCGCCTAAGCCTTGCATTACGCGTTTCCATATTTTTGGAGAGATTTGCCTTATCACATGACATCGCCATATCCCACCACTGTCACCAGCTTTGTGTCACGTCCCACTTGGTACAGGCCTCAAAAAATTTTTTTAAGTTCAAGACTTACCTTGAGGAGCTCTGACCTTCGTGAGATATTGGTCCTATTTGGCCGTTACCCACTATGCGCAGTTCGTGGCACGGGATGGACACCTATACGCGCAGTCGTCTGGCTCGGCAACGTTGACTGGAAACTTCAGGCTGCTCTTTGCCCTGGAATCGGATGATGTTAAGTCCCTCGGGATGTAGATTGTTTCTTCCGTAGTAATAGGCACGAGACGATATGGAATTATTTCGCGTTTGCTAGTAATCTCGGATGACGCGATTCCTAAGTCTCGGTGATGACGAAACGGATCGTAATATGCCGCAAGTATCCGTCGTAGGTGATACTTCCTACCACCACGTCCTGTTCTCGGCATAAAGAAAGATGAGGTTTAGGAATAGAGAATAATAACCTAAACTATTATTTAAAGGATGGTTACAATAACTCGTGCAATTCGTACGCACCTTTAGTTGTCGGGTGTTGGTTGAGGTTACGATAACTCGTGCGATTCGTACACACCTCTAGTAAAGGATAACTAAGGAGAAGG